TGTAGAAGATAATTATCAAAGTATGTAATTATGTATGAATGTTAACAGTCTGTAATATTCTTTAGTATATCACTAGCGTGGTGTAGAACAAAATTATCTATGTAGTAATACTGCTTGCAAACCAATAATGATAAGATGATGTTATGGGGTAGGACTAGATAAGTCTAACTTCTTCCTACTCCGTTCAAGCATGTACTAGGTATAAGCAAATTGATATTGCATTTGTGGATATGTGTGAAATTATGTGTGTTGACATATTGACTGTCTTTACATGTTTGAAAGAATAAATCAAATCAAATCAAATCAAATCAAAAAAATGTACTGCAGCATACTGCACGCATGAAGAATATACCGCAGGTAGCAAAGACTGATCACTTTGGACTACCAGCAAACTAAAAAATTGTTACTATAATCACCATTAGTAGATATTTTAACATCGTTAGGCCATGGATGTAACCTATAAAACACTGTATAACAAAGTTTCGTACCCAAATGTGTTACTTTTTTGTCACTAACTTTACCATATTTTATTAACAAGAAATTTAATACATACTTCTGACAAGTCATGCTGTGATGAAAGATCCAAAGATAGTATGTTGTAACTGAAGGATGAACACTGAGCAAAATTTTCTCCAAGTCAGTGGCTCTCTTGAGTGATGTTTCTTTCAAAACCTCTTCGGTGCAGTTTGGAATCTTTTCTCCATCTTAACAGAAGAAAGGACAAAAGACAAAAAAAACATATCTTAATAATACATAATCGCTTCCTGATAAATTACAGAGACGAGAAAAGAAAAGAAAGACCAAAAATATTTTTAACCTAATGTATTACTCACAAACACTTTACTGCCAGGTATTGCACTCTCACTCCACAGTTCTGTTTTATTTTGACAAAGTATGCACTTCCTGATTTCACTTATGCATCTCTCATCTTTTTACTTTCAGATGGAGTCCCACTTTTCTATGCTCCTGTTCCCTCCAGTCTTCTTGCCACCCTTAGCATTTATCACCTCCTTTTTTCCTTTGATGGCTGCTAGACTGTTGTCAGCTATTGCAGGGGAAACCCTGCTCTCCCCACCACGCTCTGAACAGCTCTCCTTCATGTCAGGCTACTCACTGTCTTTAATTACTTCATGTATTGAATTATCTGTTTGATTTTGTTTATCAAGATTATTTTGTCAAGATTGTTTTGGGGAAGCCCTGTGAAAGCTTATATAGTAATCTCTGTTTGTCTGACAATTAAAAAAGAGATGCTCATCAAGGTCCTGTCTTTTTGTTTGCATTTGGATCCTGAATTCTAAAACTGTGACAGAACAGTGTAGCCATTATGGACCCAGCAGACACAAGTGGTGTACTTGGATAACTCGCGGCCAAAAAGGAAACAATTAAGACTCACAAGCAGCAGCTGTAAAAGCTAATCAACTGCCTGCAACATTTAACCCTTCGGCCAGAGGATTTGGGGAGTCCCCAGACTGCTCACCTTGTGCCGCCATTGCATACAGTCCCAGAACCATCACTGCCCCCACTGAAGCGTTACTTGGGTGAGCCTGATTCCTTTGTGGCCTTCATTACCCAGTGTACTGTATATTGATCTTTTCTCTCCAGCCCTCCACTTTTCCCACAGAGGAGTCACGTGTGGCTTACATAGTATCTGTCCTCACTGGCTGAGCCCGCCAGTGAGCAACAGCCCAGTGGAAAAATACATCAGAGTCCCTAGCAGCTGGTATTATGACCTTCTTCTTTTTGGAGAAGGATAAGTTACTACATTTCTGCACTGACTATTGGATGGATGACATCATGGTAAAAACAGGCACCCCCTGTCACTCATCTCCACTGCATCAAGGTGTGTATACAGTATTGGTCAAGATTGTGTTGGGGAAGCCCTGTGAAAGCTTATATGGTGATCTCTGTTTGTCTGACATTAAAGAGATGATCATGAAGGTCCTGTCTTTGTGTTTGCATTTGGGTCCTGAATTCTCTCACTTTACAATAATAGACTCCTAGGCTTGACCTGTCCAGGGTGTACCCCGCCTTTAGCCCAATGCCGGCTGGGATTGGCCCCCCGCCCCCCCCCGCCCCCTCTCGGGACTAAGTGATATAGAAAATGAGATGAGCTGAGACTCCCAGGTTTAGGGGCACTGTTTTGAACCCAGCCTTGATGAGGGTTGTTTTTTTTTTAACTGTTGGCTTGTTTCAACCCACACTAAAGCTAAATTTCACCATAAAACCTGTTTATATAAATCCATTATTAAACTTTATACACAGTATAAATGATTACAATGTACTGTATAGTTTGGCCAACAAATTTAATGTTAAACTTTTTTCTTTCTAATAGTTCTGATAAAGTGGGACTGTTTTGGTTGTGCTGCACTGCTGGACTTTGATGCAGGAATATCATGTCGCAATATCTTAGCAATTAAGATATAAATAAAATGTTAATGTAACCTGTATAATGATCAGTAGGCAATCATACTATGGCAGTCGCTCAGGAGGTAGAATGGGTTGCCTCTTAACCCCAAGGTTGGTGGGTTAGTCCCAGGCTTCTCTATGTCCAAGTGTCCTTGACATTATATTGAACCTCGCTGCCAGTAATGTCACAGGTGTGTGAATGGCAAATAGCAGCACATAGAGTGCTCATCCATGTATAAAAAAGTGCTATACAGGACAAGTATTAACACCATATAAATGTAAGACCATTTACCCAAAACATCACAAACCAAAATGCTTGCTAAAGAATTATAAAACTTAAGAGGTTTTGTTTTTTACCTTTGATTTTCTGCAGCACATCTGCTCTCTCCAGTGCACCTGGTATTCCTGGCACATTGACTGGTTCACGGAAACGGCTACCGTTTTCAGAAAACAGAGAATATGGTGCAAAGTCCTCATATTCTGATGTGTCTTTCTGTCAAAATGATACAAGGGAGTGATACACCGTTGATATTTTGCCTGGTTTTTACTGGGTGGGGGTCGATGTTTGTCCATCTTTTTCTTATTTATTTTTATTTTTTTTTGCATGTAACAACTTCGGTTTCTCTCACTCGACCTGTCTCCTCTGCTTTGCTCTGTGTGGATGTGTGTTTTCTTGTACTTGCTATGTGTTGGTTTTTTTTTTTTTGGAAGGTGAAGACATTTTGGCCAGACCTCCTCAGCTCGTGAAACACCTTTTTGAGGGTTAAGACTTGGTTTTATGGTTCACTTTAGAATTAGGTTTAGTGTTAGGTGTTAAAATAAGGGTTATAGTTAGGCATTTAGTTCTGATGGTTAAGTGTTAGGGTAAGGGACTAAGGAATGCATTATGTCAATGAGTGTCCTCACAAAGATATACAGTGCCTTGCGAAAGTATTCGGCCCCCTTGAACTTTGCGACCTTTTGCCACATTTCAGGCTTCAAACATAAAGATATAAAACTGTAATTTTTTGTGAAGAATCAACAACAAGTGGGACACAATCATGAAGTGGAACGAAATTTATTGGATATTTCAAACTTTTTTAACAAATAAAAAACTGAAAAATTGGGCGTGCAAAATTATTCAGCCCCCTTAAGTTAATACTTTGTAGCGCCACCTTTTGCTGCGATTACAGCTGTAAGTCGCTTGGGGTATGTCTCTATCAGTTTTGCACATCGAGAGACTGAAATTTTTGCCCATTCCTCCTTGCAAAACAGCTCGAGCTCAGTGAGGTTGGATGGAGAGCGTTTGTGAACAGCAGTTTTCAGTTCTTTCCACAGATTCTCGATTGGATTCAGGTCTGGACTTTGACTTGGCCATTCTAACACCTGGATATGTTTATTTGTGAACCATTCCATTGTAGATTTTGCTTTATGTTTTGGATCATTGTCTTGTTGGAAGACAAATCTCCGTCCCAGTCTCAGGTCTTTTGCAGACTCCATTAGGTTTCCTTCCAGAATGGTCCTGTATTTGGCTCCATCCATCTTCCCATCAATTTTAACTATCTTCCCTGTCCCTGCTGAAGAAAAGCAGGCCCAAACCATGATGCTGCCACCACCATGTTTGAGAGTGGGGATGGTGTGTTCAGGGTGATGAGCTGTGTTGCTTTTATGCCAAACATAACGTTTTGCATTGTTGCCAAAAAGTTCGATTTTGGTTTCATCTGACCAGAGCACCTTCTTCCACATGTTTGGTGTGTCTCCCAGGTGGCTTGTGGCAAACTTTAAACAACACTTTTTATGGATATCTTTAAGAAATGGCTTTTTTCTTGCCACTCTTCCATAAAGGCCAGATTTGTGCAGTATACGACTGATTGTTGTCCTATGGACAGGGTCTCCCACCTCAGCTGTAGATCTCTGCAGTTCATCCAGAGTGATCATGGGCCTCTTGGCTGCCTCTCTGATCAGTCTTCTCCTTGTATGAGCTGACAGTTTAGAGGGACGGCCAGGTCTTGGTGGATTTGCAGTGGTCTGATACTCCTTCCATTTCAATATTATCGCTTGCACAGTGCTCCTTGGGATGTTTAAAGCTTGGGAAATCTTTTTGTATCCAAATCCGGCTTTAAACTTCTCCACAACAGTATCTCGGACCTGCCTGGTGTGTTCCTTGTTCTTCATGATGCTCTCTGCGCTTTAAATGGACCTCTGAGAATAGTCTCAGTCTGCACGCACAGTGCAGGTGCATTTATACGGAGTTTCTGTAGAGAATTGTTGTAAGGCTGGAGAAGTTACTATGTCTGCATTATACCAGTTAAAGTATGGAGTTTCTCGACTACCCACTTTGTTTAGGGTGTTACACGTCTGTTTTCATTGGTTCATATACTGTTTGAATTTCTCCTCCATAGATATGTAAATTAATGTCGTTGCAGTTCGTCTTGCTGCCTGCTTTCATATTCTGCCTCGAACATGTCAGGTAGGATTTGAGGTATTATCTTTGTCGAAAACATAGTTCGTCTCTGTTTGCTTATATGTTGTCCTGGCGTCCTGACCGGTTTTGTGTCAAGATGGGTTTCCCCTCTTCAGAACTCGGTTTCATGTAGTGTTTGTGGTTCGGGGATAGGCCATGCCCTTGATAAGGACACAAAAGAATAGCAGGCAAGGTGCAGGACCATTGACTGTATATAAAAACTGGACAAACCAACAATGATGTCACCAATTGGTTCTGAAGAGCAGTTTTGATGCCCAAGCCTGGACATTGCCATATTGCCACCTGTTAGGTCTAATCCAAAAATGGGCAAAGAAGCAGAGCTTGAGTGGAGCTGTTTACAGCTAGTGGCTAGCCACCTATAGTGGAATCCTCCAGGCTGTCACTCAAAGTGACCACGCCCTTAAAAACTTTAAGTCTCAATATAATTTCTTTTAGTCTCAATATAATTTAAATGGGCGAGTTATTAAAAAAAATTCACCCTCTGTACAGTTTTTGTGGCAGACTGTAAATATATTTATTTCTGCTGTAAAGTTGGGAAATTAATCATGGGAGTCTATGGGGATTGACTCCTTTTTGGAGTCAGCCTCAAATGGCCATTCAAGGAACTGCAGGTTTTGGCACTTCTGCAATGGCTTCATTTCTCAGCCTTGGAGGTTGCTTCTTGTGCAGGACAGTGAAATGCTTATAAGACATGCCTGCTTTGTGCCCTTCTTTTTATGGGGTGGGAAATTGTGTTGACAGGGCAGGCCATCCCACCAAATGAATGGTAGGGGCAACACTAGGGCTGACCTGTTTCAACCTAACTAGGTCTTCATCAGGGTGGAAGCATAATTAATTATATACACCCGGTACTTTTTATGAATAGTACCCCAGAAGTAGTAAAACACAATCACAGCAATATACAGTCAGGGAAAAAATTATTTGAACCCCAGCTGATTTTGTAAGTTTGCCCACTAACAAAGAAATGGTCAGTTTACAATGTCAATGGAAGGTTTATGTGAACAGTGAGAGACACAACAATAACAAAAAAATCCAGAAAAATGCATTACGAAAAAAGTTATAAAGTTATTTGCATTTTCATGAATGAAATAAGTATTTGATCCCTTTGCAAAACGTGCTTTAGTACTTGGTGGCAAAACCTTTGTTGGCAATCACAGAGGTCAGACATTTCTTGTAGTTGGCCACAAGGTTTGCACACATCTCAGGGGGGATTTTGACCCACTCCTCTTTGCAGATCCTCTCCAAGTCATTAATGTTTCATGGCTGATGTTTGGCAACTCGAACCTTCAGCTCCCTCCACAGATTTTCTATGGGATTAAGGTCTGGAGACTGACTAGGCCACTCCATGACCTTAATATGCTTCTTCTTGAGGCAATCCTTTGTTGCCTTGGCTGTGTGTTTTGGATCATTGTCATGCTGGAATACCCAACCACGACCCACTTTCAATGCCCTGGCAATTATATTAGAAAACACGTACATAAGTTTGAGACCTTTAAGAGCTCCGGTTTAGATGAATGCCTTCAGCTTCCACCACATACGGAGAAATTAATCTCTTGAATCTACTCAAGCCTGATGTCTCTGAGTCCAGCAAGCACCTCTCCAATAAAGTCTAAATGGGAGCAGGAAATGGGTAATAAAATTTCAGATACATATTGGGAGACAAGCCTGGAAAATATCTATAGGTGCTCTTATAATGCGAGGTATATTTTAATCCAATTTAAGATTCTGCACCGCCTTCATTTCTCTAAAGAACAATTACACAAAATCTATCCTGAGGTATTTCCCATATGTGATAAGTGTTCCTCTGCAGAAGATATGTTAAGCCACAGTTTTGCTCTATGTCTCCAAGTTCAAAAATATTAGATTGATATTTTCGATTTGATATCCAAAATTCTCCATAGACAGGTCTCTTTTATACAGGTAACGAGCTGAGAGGGCTCCCAATGTCAGCTTGTTACCTGTATAAAATACACCTGGGAGCCAGAGATCTTGCTGACTGATAGGGGATCAAATACTTATTTCATTCATGAAAATGCAAATTAATATAGAACTTTTTAGTAATGCATTTTTCTGGATTTTTTTTTTGTTATTGTTGTGTCTCTCACTGTTCACATAAACCTACCATTGACATTGTAGACTGATCATTTCTTTGTTAGTGGGCAAACTTACCAAATCAGCTGGGGTTCAAATAATTTTTTCCCTGACTGTACATACACCATACTGACACGAAAAGTTTGATATCATACAAATTTCTAATAAAAAAAATCCTGACATGATTAAAATACCAAAGGTTTACCTTAACATTAGGTTGCAGTAAGCAAACATCAGTTTCCTGGATATTAGAAAGGAAGCCAATTATTAGCTTGTTAATGCTGAAATAAAACCTGGATACCTCAACACCTATGTGACTTTTGACTCATCCTCTAAACTAATTTGGAAATACCTTTGCTTCTGACAAGAGATATGCCCAGCAGTATGTTGAGTACTCAAAGACATCAAGGTCCTCAATGATCTTATCCCCGTAGTTTGTTCCAAGCTTTGGCAGAATCTCTCTAAAGAGAGTGTACAAGCCTTCAACCACTGCAATCTACAGGAAAAACAGAGGACAAAATTTTATCAGATAAAATAAAATCACATTTTCTCAAGGTCACCGCTGGGAAAAAACAGGTAATAAGATTAATATTACACTACTTGTACCTTTTGAGTCCTTGATAAGATTTCATTCTTACAGAGTAACTGATTCAAACTTTGGGCCAGAGGGTGACATCCCGTTAGTTTTCGTATGTAGCCAATCAATTTCTTGTGTGAAACCACTAGAGGCGTGTATTTCTAGGGAAGAGAAATATTATTGAAATATAATTAAAAACAAGCAAAATTACTGTGAAGTAAAAGAGTGACATGAGTATTTTTAATGCACAGAAGGAAATGAAGCTTTTAATATCAAGTTCAAGATCAAGTTAATCTCAAGTTCTCCACTGTCACACAGTCGGCAGCTTTGGCTTCATCATAACCCCCCAAGATTTTTTTTAACAGAATTTTCAGTTTTCTTTATTGCAATGTCTTTTTATTCTACATTTTATGTAGCTCTGTATACACATTCATATTGATCATTGCAAATTAATCTATACCTGTCAGCATGCATTTAGTTACTTTTTTATTAAACAGTTGAAGATGAGAAGGTATTTTTTAATGTGGATACTCTCATCTCATTTTCTATACTGCAGAGTCGGACGGGGGGGGGGGGGCGCGGACACGACTATGGTCCCAGCTGCCTTGAGATCATTGACAAGTTCCTCCCGAGTAGTTCTGGGCTGATTCCTCACCGTTCTCATTATCACTGAAACTCCACGAGGTGAGATCTTGCATGGAGCTCCAGACCGAGGGAGATTGGCAGTTAATTGATGTTTCTTCCATTTGCGAATAATCGCACCAACTGTTGTCACCTTCTCACCAGCTGCTTGGCGATGGTCTTGTAGCCCATTCCAGCCTTGTGTAGGTCCACAATCTTGTCCCTGACATCCTTGGAAAGCTCTTTGGTCTTGGCCATGGTGAAGAGTTTGGAATCTGGATTGCTTGATTGCTTCTGTTGACAGGTCTCTTTTATACAGGTAACGAGCTGAGAGGGCTCCCAATGTCAGCTTGTTACCTGTATAAAATACACCTGGGAGCCAGAGATCTTGCTGACTGATAGGGGATCAAATACTTATTTCATTCATGAAAATGCAAATTAATATAGAACTTTTTAGTAATGCATTTTTCTGGATTTTTTTTTTGTTATTGTTGTGTCTCTCACTGTTCACATAAACCTACCATTGACATTGTAGACTGATCATTTCTTTGTTAGTGGGCAAACTTACCAAATCAGCTGG